CAGGCTGGAGTGCAATGGCGCAATCTCGGCTCACCGCAACCTCCGTCTCCTGGGTTCAGGCAATTCTCCTGCCTCAGCCTCCTGAGTAGCTGGGATTACAGGCACACACCACCATGCCCAGCTAATTTTTTGTATTTTTAGTAGAGACGGGGTTTCACCGTGTTGACCAGGATGGTCTCGATCTCTTGACCTTGTGATCCACCCGCCTCGGCCTCCCAAAGTGCTAGGATTACAGGCGTGAGCCACCGCGCCCGGCCACATCTCATTATTTTAAAGTTACTATAATTGATTCCCTGTTACAAAAATAATTAATGATCTAAGCCTTTGTTTCCTCCAGCAACTGAGAAAACATTCCCTGTTTTTAGATGTTTTGAACAGTTTAGGAGTCTGGCCAGCTGCTGAAATGAAGAGGGAAATTAAATAATATCAATAGTAGTCTATAATTGCTGCATAATAAAGTTTACTGTGTTGTGTTCAATATAAAACCTAACCCCCAGCTCTGCTTGAAATTAACTAACTCCCTGTAAAACCTACCTTATCTATTCTCCCCACATTCTCAGTCAAGTCCCCAGGCATCTCAAGACTCCTGTTTTTCTTGCAGACCAGCTGCAAGGTCACAGGGCAAGATAACAAGCAAATAATGTGCAATATGTTTCTCAAAGGGCTATTTTCTGCCGGACGAGGTGGCTCACACCTGTAATCCCAGCACTTTGGGAGGCCGAGGCAGGTGGATCATGAGGCCGAGAGATCGAGACCATCCTGGCCAACATGGTGAAACCGCGTCTCTACTAAAAAATACAAAAATTAGCTGGGTGTGGCGGCATGCGCCTGTAATCCCGGCTACTCAGGAGGCTGAGCCAGGAGGCGGAGGTTGCAGCGAGCCATCGCACCACTGCACTCCAGCCTGGCGCCTGCTGACAGAGCGAAACTGTCTCAAAAAAAAAAAAAAAAATGCTATTTTCAAATGCAACATACATCACAGGGTATGTTACAGATTAACTATTCTTTGTTCTGGCTTCTGTAAACCGGTTAGCTGCTACATCATCCTGGATGTATAAAAAGCCAAGCCCTGTCTTTGTTAGGCGCTCAGCCTTGAGATGCTAATCCGCTAAACTGGTGGTCACCTTAATAAAATCCTCCTCGGTCTCCTGAATATTCTGCAACAGAAAGTCAGCAAGCAATGAGTAACATTTAGAAGGTGAGATTCATGCACAATTTCTTTTATCTTTTTTTTGAGATGGAGTCTCACTTTGTCACCAGGCTGGAGTGCAATGGCGTGATCTTGGCTCACTGCAACCTCCACCTCCTGGGTTCAAGTGATTCTCCTGCCTCAGCCTCCCAAGTAGCTGGGACTACAGGCGCGTACCATCACGCCCAGCTAATTTTTGTATTTTTTAAAAATTATTTATTTTTTAGAGACGGGGTTTCACCATGTTGGTCAGGCTGGTCTTGAACTCCTGACCTCAGGTGATCCGCCCGCCTTGGCCTCCAAAGTGCTTGGATTACAGGCGTGAGCCACCACACCCAGCCTTAATTTTTGTATTTTTAGTAGAGATGGAGTTTCACCATGTTGGCCAGTATGGTCTCAATCTCTTGACTTCATAATCTGCACTCCTTGGCCTCCCAAAGTGCTGGGATTACAGGCGTGAGCCACCGTGCCCGGCCCATGCACAATTTCTAAGTTCAGGTTTTAGGTAATTAGACAATTAACTCTGCACATAAGGCATCCAGTCAGTTGCGAGGTATGAATTATCAGTGGTCCAATAAAGGCCATTAGGATTAATTTAATATTTCTTACCATAGCAATTTCTGTAAGCTTTTAAAAATTAACCTCCCTCCACCAATTAGAATTCATCTGCTATGCCTTTTGTGTTTTAATCTACTACTAGGTGCCTATGAAATATCAAGTATATAAACTTTAGTCTAACAATCAACTATAGAGCCAGTCTATGGATTCAGACTTAGTAAATGCTTTTTGCAATTTAAGTTCTTTGGTTTCAGCCTTGAATGTTAGGAAAAGATACAGATAGGATTTTGTCTTTGTTCACTATCATTAAGTAATTCAATTACTTAAAACATAGCCATCATGTTTTCTTATTCACGGATACGTGACTTACAAGTCATTTGTTTTCTCTGGCCCCTTTGCAACTGCTCAGACTTAGGTGCAAATAACATCACCTTCCACAAAGTGGCTGCTAATTCAGGTTGCAACCCAGAAACTTAGGACTTGCAAACCCAAAACTTCATTTTTGTTTCTTTTTTGTTGTTGTTTTTGAGATGGAGTCTCTCTCTGTCCCCCAGGCTGGAGTGAAGTGGCGCTATCTTGGCCTCACTGCAACCTCTGTCTCCCGGGTTCAAGCGATTCTCCTGCCTTGGCCTCTCGAGTAGTTGGGATTACAGGTGCCCGCCTCCACACCCAGCTAATTTTGTATTTTTAGTAGAGACGGGGTTTTGCCATGTTGGCCGGGCTGGTCTCGAGCTCCTGACCTCAGGTGATCCACCCGCCCCAGCCTCCCAAAGTGCTGGGATTACAGGCATGAGCCACTGTGCCCAGCTGAAAACTTCATTTTGAAAAGCAAGTAACAGGAGAGAATCGGATTACAACTTGAGTATTGGCATATACAGAGAAGGGAATCTCAACAAGGTAGATTCGGTACTTAAAAAGCTAAGAGGGAGTTGAGCGCAGTGGCTCACGCCTATATTCCTAGCACTTTGGGACGCTGAGGGGGTTCGAGGCTTGGCTGGGCAATGAAGCAAAACCTTATCTCAAAAAATAATTAGCCAGGCATGGTGTTGCACAGCTGTAGTCCCAGCCCCTGGGAAGGCTGAGGTAGGAGGGCTGCTTGAGGCCCGGAGTTGGAGGTTGCAGTGAGACATGATCACACATGAATAGCCACTGCAGTCCAACCTAAGCAATCTGCTTTAAGTATTTGTCCCTGATTAGATTACACAGGCATTATTCTACTGCTGAGGCTAGTTGGTATGTTTCACAGTAATGCTCTATACCTGGCTTTGCCTGGGAAATCGATTTACTAAACAAGATAAAGAAGGAGCGATGCATGCAGGGCAGGAGAAATCACATTACTTTATTGCCCATTTGTACCACTCTTCTTGTTGTTTCGTTTTGTTTTTGTTTTTTTAGACAGATTCTTGCTCTGTCACCCAGGCTGGAGTGCAGTGACACAATCTCAGCTCACTGAAGCCTCTGTCTCCCGGGTTCAAGCAATTCTCCTGCCTCAGCCTCTCAAGTAGCTGAGATTATAGGCGCCTGCCACTACACCCAGCTAATTTTTTTGTGTTTTTAGTAGACACAGGGTTTCACTGTGTTAGCCAGGATGGTCTCAGTCGCCTCACCTCATGATCTGCCTGCCTTGGCCTCCCCAAGTGCTGGGATTACAGTCGTGAGCCACTGCGCCCAACCTAATTTTTGTATTTTTAGTAGAGATAGGGTTTCACCATGTTGGCCAGGCTGCTCTCGAATTCCTGACCTCAAGGGATCTGCTCACCTCGGCCTCCCAAAGTGCTGGGATTACAGGCATGAGCCACTGCACCCGGCCAAGTACCATTCTTTAACTCAGAAAATACCTGCTACTTTCAAAAGTATGCAACCAGGACAGGCGCAGTGGCTCATGCCTGTAATCCCAGCACTTTGGGAGGCCAAGGCCAGCGAATTAGAGGCCAAGAGTTTGAAATCAGCCTGGCCAACATGGCGAAACACTGTCTCTACTAAAAATACAAAAATTAGCTGGGCATGATGGCACGCACCTGTAATCCCAGCTACTCAGAAGGCTGAGGCATAAGAATCACTTGTACCCGGGAGGCGAAGTTTGCACTGGAGTACAGTGAACTGAGATTGCACCACTGCACTCTGGCCTGGGTGACAGAGTGAGACTCTAAAACAAAAAAAGAGATTTTCAAAATTAACTCCTAGTCTCACGCGCTGCTGCCAGCCTGTGCACCCACCACTGCACTGCCCTGCTCCTCTGCCAATCACAATGGAAGAAGAGATCCCCACACTCATCACTGACAGTGGCTTTGGCATGTGCAAAGCTGGCTTTGCTGGACAATGCCCCCCAAGCTGTGTTTCCCTCCATTGTTGGGCACCCCTGGCTCCAGGGCATGATGGTGGGCATGAGCCAGAAGGACTCCGACATGGGTGACGAGGCATCCTGACCTTGAAATACCTCATTGAGCACGGCATCATCACTGAGATGATGATATGGTTTGGCTGTGTTTCCATCCAAATCTCATCTTGAATTGTAATTCCCACAATTCTCATGTGTCATGGGAGGAACTGGGGGAGTGGAATTTAATCATGGAGGCAGGTCTTTCCCATGCTGTTCTCATGATACTGAATACCTCTCACAGGATCTGGTGGTTTTTAAGACAGGAGTTTCCCCGCACAAGCTCTCTGTCTCTCTCTCTCTCTCTCTCTCTCTCTCTCTCTCTCTCTCTCTCTCTCTCT